CGTCCGTGCGCGCTCGCGGACGCGAACGTATGCTAGCCTGGCGGGCGCAACAATTTGATAAGGCATCCTGGCATGCACCCTGCTCCCGTTTATCTGACGGCATCTTTTAATGCATGCGTGCGGAAGATTGGGAGGAGGTGGTAGAGGGTACGTTTCTTGTGTGTACACCAGTTCTCCCTTCCCCTCTCCTCAATTCTCCCCCCCCCCTCCCTCCTCATCACCCCATCCCCACACGTTTACACCTTTCCCCCAGACGCATGGGGAGCACGCGGCGTCAACAGCATTACACCTCTTACCCACTTTTCACTCTATTTTTCGCCCTCTCCTCCCCTCTGCTCATATCCCACCCTTACTCCTAAGGTGTCGTTATCGTCGTCGTCGACTTGGTCGTACAGTGGGGCGTTATCTCAGCAGGCGCGTGTATCTTGCTCTGGTGAAGTGTGAATAGAGTGAAGTGTACGGACTTTATATTAATAAATGGCGCTATGGTATGCGTGTGCGTGCATACGTTCATGGCTTTTAGAGGAGGCTAAGGAGACACAAACAAACTAGTAATCTGCTCGTAATATCGCCCCAAGTAAATGTGGATGGTGGAGGGCAGGGAATAGGATGAGGGAGGATGAGTGTTGATAAAAGTGAATTTTATAATGGACCGACAGTAATTTAAACAAAAGTTAAGTGGGTTTGTAGCAGTGCGTATGCAGCTCTGGTGGCACCTTTGGCACCACTCAGCGTAGGGTTTTGTCTTGGCACATTCCAAAATTCCCACCTTTTAGCGTTAGTACCTTAAGTGCTTAATTTATATTGCATTTGGGAGGTATAAAAATAATTATCCAACACAAAACTTTGGCTCGTCGTCAAGAAAAAGGTTTAGTTCTGACTACAATGGAGAAAAATCGTATTAAAATTTAATATTTTATGGGACAAGAGGCTAAATTGAGGCCCTGGATCAGCGTAATTAACACCGTTTCATTGCTTTTAAAATTTCCTTATGGGTGTTAATACTGGAACAAACTGTTCCTTCAAATAACAACTTTCGATCCAAATAACCATTAAATTAGCTGTCATTTATCACTAGTCTCTTATAATAACTGTCTTTACTTTTTCAAGATAGGTAAAAGACGGTGGCCCTGCATAACACCTAATTAGCCCTCCCTCTCTCTGAATGCATGCAGAGTAGCAGAGTAAATAATTCTGCGTATTGGGGGCAAGGAACAGATGGCTTTTTCTCCCTCTTCCCCCTCCCCTAATAGCATTATACGCAGTGTGTTAGGATGGGGTGTCACTCCTTGCCTCTGCCCTGAGAGTTGCGCCAGTCGTCGATTATGCTTTAGCCGTCGTCCTGTCCCTAACCCTCCTTTACCCCGTCCCCCTCCCCACCACCCCACCTATTCAGCCGCCTCTGCTCAGTCGCCTCCTAAAGCAAACGCAAGGACAATGTAAATACACTAGTGCTGTAGTCTGTCTCTGTGTGTGTGTATTTAATAAGCTACCTCGCTACCTGTTGCAATGATTAAGGGCTGCATGTGTGTGTATGTGTGTGATAAATAAATTGCCAACAGAAGCTATCGCCATACTGATGGGGCGGGACTAATTACAGGTTACCAGCGTGCGTATGGGATCAGTGCTAGACGTTGTGATTACCGCAAGCAACCGCTTTTTGTGTGAGTTACCCAGAGGCAGTGCATTCCAGCCTTAATAGCTGCGACTCAAGCATACCTATGGCATCGAAGTTCTCCCTGGGACGCTATTATGAACACTGGTGGGTACGTAGAGATGGCCTTACCGAACGCCTTGAAAATGAAACAGGGACCTAAAAGTAGGCAACTGAACAATCGTAGTAGTTAACTGCATCAGGTATCTAGGCCTATTTAACCATTAAGGCACAAAATTAGAGTTCATTTAAAGGTTTTCTCTGTTTTCGAATAAAAATGCCAGGTTGAAAGGGTTCCAAGGCTATTAAAATGGCGCTAAAAACCTCAGTTATCTATCTTTTTGAAATATCAGCACCATCCTTCTCAATAGCCTAATATTCTTATTTCCTTTTTTAAGTCGCAGTAAAAGTTTTGACTACTAAGTTAATTAAGGGAACAAAAATCAACGAATAGTCAAAAATTCCCTCATTTTTTTAGGATTACAAGCAAATGCTTCATGCCTTTAGTGTAAATTCTATTATTTAAGTTAAATATATTTAACTTTTTTTATTTTGGCCAATCTTCGCCTGCAGTACAGTTTCTCCAAAGCATGTGGGTATTCGACAGACTCCAAATTTATAACCAATCAGATGCCGGAGCGCCTGCCAAAATCGGGTAGTTTCTTCTCCATTACTAATGTGTGAAGAAGGAAACAACTTTGTCACCATTAAATTACCTCATAGTATCGTAAGTAATATTCAAGGAGTCTCAAAACATTGAAAATAGCCTAGTGAAAACATGATTGTAATATGTAGATTATTTTTCCTACCACTGATTCTTCCACACAACAACGACTTAAAATGTTATCGAGTAGGATCTGTTGCAGGAGGTCAATTAAGAAACGCGACAGGTTTACAAAGGCAGGCATTTAGCGTGAACAATGCAACACCATTTACAATTCCACCTTTTAACACACCCACACGTGATTACATTCTAGCCGAATTAATTTCTTTTGTTCATCTACTCGTTTTAAGAAAATACTTAGTGAAGTCACTTTAATCACCTTAAAGAGATAATGCAATAACAAGTGATAGTGCAGGTCCATTCATCATCTATCTTTATCATTTCTTCGACTCTATTCTTCAAAAAGGCATGATCGTTTAAACCTTGTGTGTTTTTAAGGAACTGAATACCTGAACGCAATCATATTTCCAATCTAAGTAGGCGGCCACTGCCTTGGGTATGCTTCATGAGATTTCAATTAAAAAGCAAGCTTATTCGCAAAGTTACCCGTTTACAGAGCACGCAAATTTGAAATCAGATAACATTGAAGTTTGACTGCCTAGATGAACAATAAAGAACCCCACTCCACCCTACTCCATTCCACTACCGCAGTCGCGCCGTTATACAACAGGCGATCTCGTTTGCTAGCTCGCACACGAACAAACGTAGTATAATCTCATCTCAGCAGCGCCCACACAAATGTGGGGGGCGACAACACACACCCAGTAAAAGCTCAGCCACAATTCAACGGCAAAACTGCGCACTATTGGTAGTAAGTACGTGTAGCGTGTGTATCTCCATGCCCACCCCTCTCTCCTCCCTCCACCACTCCCCTTGCCTTCTCTCCCTGTCCCAGTTCTCTAGCTGCATTGTCACACAAACACAATAGCTGCTGTTGCTCGCAAAGTTGCACACACTGGGTAGCAGGAGAGGGAGAGTGGGGGATGGGGCATTGAGGATCGTAGTGGACCGTCGAATGTTGACGGCTTCTGAGCTAAGATGCGGAGTTGGTAATGGCAATGGCGAGTCCGTGTCTGCGCTTGCTTTTGCGTGCAAATTCTGAGGGATTACTCCACACTGGGGGGTTACAGGCACAAAAAATCGCATGATAAATCATCGTGTAGGATAAAGTTGCAATATTCCGCCGTTCGTGCCTCAATGAAAATCTACCTTGGAATAAGAGCTGATTTATTTTGCTAAAGGCCGAAGATATTTTATTCTGAGATCAGTCAAATGGTCTTCTGGACTCATTAAGTTATAAATATTTTTCAAACGACCTGACATTAAGTGAAGTGTTCAAAATGCTAATTTCGTCGGAAAATCTTGCTTTGCACATTGAAGAAATTTTTGCTACAAGACCTTCACACAAACCCGAAAATCAAATTGCATGCATAGCTAATGGAATTCAAACCAGTGTTGTGAGGTGGGATAAAGGAAAAATTCCTGGAAAAAGGGATTTTATGGAAACCTGCACTGTGATTGGTCAGTAATCATGGCGTGAGTGATGTGACGCATTAAGTATGATGAATGATATTTACCGTATGATACGGTATGCCTATGGCTGAAAGCTCCCGAGCACCACTTACATCATCTTTCCGCACTTTCTGCAATTTCAAATGAGTTTTATGCAAAGCTTGAGTCCTGATAGTAAGTACTGATACAAAGGCCTCATATAGTGGGAATGTACAAGCATCCAAGTCGTATAGGTAGAAGGATCTGGGTAGAATTCCTTAAATTTTAATAATTTGTTTACTTTTTGTTAAAGTGCTTACTTAGGTTAAATTGCGGTAAAATGTGAAGTTATCCTTGAGTTAATTGGACACCTTACACTACCACCCTCTTAAATAATCCACCATCCAAATGAAGGTAGTGTGTGCATCAGACATGAGATATCGTACCTAAATCATTCTTATTTTTCATAATTCTTTATTTTAGAAGTTTTTAGCTTATTTCTTTGGGTATACTGAGTCAATACCATCTTCACGGAAGAAGGCCATATAAAGTCACAATCAACAAAGAATGCAATCTTTGTATTCCTATTTACCAACAATTGCAAGTTTCATTACGCGATTTTAGCAATAAATTATTCCTGTGATCCACAGAAAATGATTTGTTGATTTAACTATCCAAATGGGTTGAGCTTGTCCGCTTCTGTGGACGCATTCACCCAAAGTACGTACAGATGCAGTAGTTTAATTTCCTCATTGTATTTGCTTCTCTCACCTCACTTTCCTGCCCGGGATGTTGATGCTAATCAACCTCATTGCATCATCCCCGCGGTTTATTCTACGGAGGTAAACACAGGGAGAGACACAAGGGCGTGACTCACTGCTCCGCATTGCGTAAATGACCTTGAGCTCATTTCAAGACACAAATGCAAGAAGACCGCGACAGGTAATTGTCCTACCTCTCCCGTCCAGCACGAGCTAAAATGAGGTAGAGATTGATCCCCAGGCCTTCACATGACTGACAAACTCAGACGCAGGCATGTGTGCCACTACCGCTGCGAAAGCCCCAACTGAGTGAGTGATCGACGCAGCTGACCGAGAGCTAAACCCTAATTATGCGGGCAAATGGGTTTTTTAGCACTGAATGAATCCTCCTTGTGAGTAGTTTAGCTGATAGCTGCCTGCTAAGCTAGAGCCTCCAGGATCAACAGCAAGTGCCTATTCGACCTAGTCCGAGGTTGAAGGAGAACAGCTGCTTTCCGCACCAACTATTCGTCTTCAGTATCAGATCTCTTAAAATATTTTTGGTTTCCACTGTCTATCCCCCTATTTTTCTCAACCTGCACTTTATCGTTTTGGGCTATGGGGTGTAGGACACCAGTGTGTCGACTACTGCTGTCGTGGTTATGCCGTATCACGATAGTGATGACCAAACGATAATAAATGCCTTAATTTAAAACCACTCCTTCTCTTGGTTTTGACATTGACAGGCACAAATTTCCCACATTTTGAAGGCAATATGAGTAGTCTCAATTTAATTATTAAAAGCGGTACCATTTTTGTCCGTTGCGGAATTTATCCCCTCGTTAAGAGTTTTCACTCCGAAGAGAATCTGACTACTCGTGCAAATCACAATCTATCAAACAAGCCGAAATTCCAGTTACTGCCTCAGCCACAAAAGTTGAGTTAAAATGATTGGCAGTAAAACCGTTAAAGTGTAAAATGCAAACTGCTTTGAGAACTTTGTGGCCTCTGCCAATGTGCTGTATTGTATCCACCCTTACCCTGCTCCCCTTGAGTGAATGCTAAGGGCTAACATATAATGCCAATATACCAATTAGACTTCTGAAGAACTGCCTTTACTTATCGCAACATTAAACAGTTTCAATAGACCTGATAAACTATCAAATTCATTAGCTTTATGCCTATTTTAAAATAAAAACAAACATGCGATGCACTCGTCTTCTAAATACAATCATGAATAAAGTCGAAAGTATGGTGAAAACTGAGGGTCAAGTAGGTCCTTAACATGGTCGCTATCGCCTTCAAGCACTTTTTGAAACCAGATCCTGCTGTGGAGGACCTTGTTAGCACTAGAATGCAAAAGAAGTAAGTGCGGGTGTTTATTTCCCAGTTTTTGAGCACCATAACCATAAAGATAGCATATCTTTTTAGGCTATGGTGGTCGATTTCTTTCTGAAACCCTGAAATCTAAGGCAGTTGCATTTTGCATATGGGGTAAATATTAATTTGTAAAAAAAAACGACTTCCCTGTTCCCGGTCACGTTGCAACTGCATGATGTCGTGACAATGAGTTGTTGATTTTCCAATCAATAAAAAGACTAGAGATTTCGGCGTGACCTCAGAACGGGCTCGGGCACTGGTATGACTAATACATTGTTACCCAAAATGATGGGGGGGGAGGGGAGTAGGCTGTCCATAGGTGTTTCCTCCCGCACGTGTTTGCATTTTCAGGACAATGCTAACCCAGTTGGACTTGCGCATACCAGTATCTACCTCGACGGTGGTCACTTGGAGGAGTAAAAGGGGGGTGGTGGACACATTCGTGTCATCTCTTGTTCTGCACATCTGTGACCCATCTGTGTATGGCCAGCAGATGCATACAGTAGCTAAATAGGCTGGAGAGTATACCCTTTTCAGTATACAATTTTATGTTGAAAAATTTGGGTTAAATCCATCCAGAGCGAATAATTACTCTTCAAAGCTGGCCGAAAAACGCATGGGTGCCTACTCTTCTGGGCGTCTATCATCTGCCCCTGTATCAAAAATTGTAAATGCCACTGAATAAAATGTTATTCCCATTCTTAGCTAACCAGATCAGTAGATGCAAAATTTTCCTGTTCTGCTTGCTCTTTGGTGTCGAGTATGCAGCTAAAACAATTGCATTATCTTTAAGACTCACAGTTGTTTCTTGTTGAATTACACTATAAAAAGAGTGAATTAACCCTCTTATTATTACGCCATTTTGAAGAAAATGAAATTAAAAAGCAAAAAACTGCAATTGTATTTCTACTTCACCTCGCCCCCTCAAAAATACAGCAGACTGGAATGATGAAAATGACTCGGGCGTATAATTGGAGTGGTAACCTTACAACAATGCAGTGGTCACACAGTTCACGAAATGCCTACGAGAGATTTAGGGTATCGTAGACTCGGCAAAGAATTCTATCGAAAAGCGCAGATGTGCTCACGTGCTGCTAAGCGAACGCATGCGCCCTTTAAGTGGATTGGTTGCTCACACTGTCATGCGCATAAGGAGCCAATCAGATTCAAGCTTAGACATTAGATAGGTTAAAACTACTTTTTGCAAAGGTACTCATCCATTTCGCAGTTTGAGATGGACGAGCAAGGTCGAAACAAAAGGATCGAAAATTTTAAACGTTTGTCAAGGGAGAGACGACCCAACTCAACTCCACCGATCATATCTCGTAATCAAGAAGACAGCACCATACCATTTGCCATGGCTACCTCAGAGAGTGTTCGCTCAAATCCAACTCTCTCTCAGATGGATGAAAATGACGAAGTTCAGTCGACAATGGTAACTCCTTCAGAGAACAGTGAGACGGTTAATGGAAACGATTCTGACGATCAGCCTTCTACATCAAAAACAAAGCCGAAGTCGAAATCAGGGTCGAAGAAGAATTTATATTGCGAGTTTTGTAAGAAGGGTTTTGGACTCCTGAATATCCTCAAGGTACATTTAAGAATACATACTGGAGAAAAACCTTATATTTGCAATATATGCCAGAAATCATTCAATCAGAGTGGTGAGTTTTATGAGGTTTAAATGATGACTGTTCATTATTTTCGTTTGAGTTCATGCAAGCATTTGGTAGAGGGGTTTTATAATTTCAAGAAAACCAAAACTTGTTTTAAGGCAGGAATTATGTTAGCCCTTGTTGTGTAGATCGAAGGAATAGTGGACCAAACAAGGGAGTTGCATTTGTGTTAGGAGGCGTTACTATTCTCTTCTTCTTTGACTGGACTATTTGTGTAATCGGTTCACTGTTACCAGTAACTGGTCTTTCACTCAAGTTTATCATTTGTTTTTCATTGTTATTAAAATACTCACCAACATTCGGTTATCTCCATTATTTAGGTTCCTTAAACAGGCACATACAAACGCATTACAGGAGGGCACACGCAAACAGTAATTATCCCTGTCGCTATTGCAAACTTGTCTTTATACACTCGAGCCAACTACAAGAACATGAGAGTAGTCAGCACTTTAATGACAGTGCGCAGACTTCATTACCAGAAAACCATTCTGATCTTCCCTGCATGATGGCACCCTTTTTCGCCATGTGCCTTGGAAGGAACTCGAATTTACCACCACAGCTTGGAAAACCTGAGTCTCCGGTACCATTTGCATCCCATGGCACACCAACGACCTCTCAACACCCCGATACCAGACCAAGTTTACCCAACTCTTCCCCAGTAGACTACCAGCTTGGCAGTAGGTCTTTCATGCTCAGAAATACATTTTGTAAAGTAGGCATTACTAATCATGCATCTTTTCTCGTAGACTTTCCCCATTTTCCACTGCCACAAAGACCTTTCAATGACCAGTCTCCAATGTTCCCATTAAATCTCGACTTACCAGGACCCTCGAAACTTACTCCCCAAGTGTCGTCACTCTTACCACCTCCTCTCCTGAATGGATTACCCTTTTTAAACAGTTCCGCAACTCAAGCCTCATCGGAATTTTCAGCTGCAAATCTGTTAAACAATAACAAGCCTTCGACACCTAATTTTGAGAACATTATGCAACTTCTGGCCAGCATGAATAATGGCGAGGGCTCACCTACCCTGCCTGTTCCTCCCTCAAATCCTACTTTACCATTTGATCCAAATTTTCTCAACACCTTCATAAAGATAAATGAACAGAGAGACCCTGCTCCACCAAAGCCAGCCGCGGAGACCATTGGACCTTCAGTAATGACACCGACTGAAACTTTGTCAAACAACAGTGCCTGTTCCAGTCCCAAGAGTGGAAACAGTGAAATTGCGAGTACTTTGCGTCAGCAGCCTGGCCCACAACCTTCGACTTCAAGCGGAGCACAACAACCAATAGACAGTCCTATCACCCACGACGGGAAACATTGCCGTGTTTGCAACAAGCGCTTCAACTGTGGGAGTGCACTCAAAATCCACTTTCGCAAACACTCGGGTTTGTTTTGCTTTTGCTTACTCGTGCCTTTATCAAAATCCTCCACTTTGAATAGGAAAATAGTAGTAATTTACTTTAATCGTACGCATCAGGTGTCTAAAGCTGTGGGCTGTTTGAAGGCACCTTAAATAAGGATTCGTTAAGAATTTAATGTGGAAAGGTGATTACTTACGATTACGCTGGAAACGCAAAAAGTGCATGTGACTAATTTTTTGCTCAGGTTGTCGAAAGGTTGTCACGTAGTGGTGGCAGTCCTGCGCCGTTAGGGACCTGTGTGTGAATCGCCTCCAGCTGAAATATGCCCTGTAATGTGACACAAGTGTTGCTAGCTCCTTCGGTATCCTGACGGGAATAAATTCTTTTAGTTTGAATAACATCATGACAGTCGTCGTGGTACGGTGACAGATTTTATTCTTGCACGCTAGGCCCGTCAAATTGTAAACCGCTTTGATTTGTGTCCGAGATTATTTGCACTTCGTCCAGTCTTAGAGTTCCAGTGGAGAGAGGCAGAATACAATTTGATTTAACCTACAAATGTAACGAAAAAATTTTTTATTGCGGCTTTCTTAAGGTGAACGCCCCTACGCTTGCATACATTGCAATAAGGCCTTCACCCAAAACGGCACACTCAAGAGGCACTACGCGACCTGCAAAGTGGCCAAGAGGCAGGCCCAAGCTGGGACTTCTCGAATCCCTCCACCATTATTACCACCTACACCTTCAAAGAAATTTCCTTCCCCCCTACCAGCGGTTTCGCAAATGTCGAGGTTTCCACCTCCAATCAATGGGACAAACACCCTCATGACCCCACCACTTGTTCCTCCCCAAAACCTTCTTGAACACATTATTCCCCGACAATCAGAGCAGCCACCTAACTCCAGCATTTATGAGAACGCATTTAGAATATTCTTTGAAAACCTCTTATCCCAACACAATTCATTCAATGACCGGATTTTTCAAATGGAGACGGGACAGAAGATTGAACAAGAGACCCCAATGGACGTATGTATCAATACAGAAGAGCCAGAAGTATGTGCTTTCCTGCATTTTTCACCAACTTGAAATGCGCATAATATCTTAAAATTTTATCTTTTGAAATTTTCAAGGATCTGTCCAGTTCACGCAATGAGGAGCAAGGCAATGTGGAAGACGGCCTCGAACGCGAGAATCCGGTAAATGAGACATTGGGGTCACACAGTATAACTGAAAACGGATGGTGAGATTTGCATGTAGTTATGACTGCTTGCCTTCAAACCTTCTAAACCATATGCGCGTCTGTGTTTTGTGAAGTAAAACTTCCAGAGGCATTAATATTAGCTGTCTGCCTTTCAGTGTGGGTGCTCGTGGTCAGCAAAATACGGCACTACAAAGTACTTCAAATTGTCAAAATGGAATACGCAGCATTGAGGATCTGCACCATTGCACCGCGTGCGGAATTTACTTCGCAGATTTCTCCATGTATAATTTTCACCGATCCCTACACGCGAATGGAGCAGATTATACTTGTTCACAGTGTGGTGAAAGTATGTCAAATGCGAGAGAATTCGCCCTTCATTTCGTTCGCTCTCATGATAACCACCATCCCCGACACAAACATGGTCTGCCAAGGGAGGAGTCGTCCGCTAAACCCACTTCAATTAAAAAGGTGGCGAACTTGAATTTGTCACCGAGGCATTAATCTTCCCATCTTCTTGCATTGGCCAATGCTCAATACGCTATGCGTATTACTATGTGTTTCTTAGACTATATTCTACTGTAGGCCAACAAGACCACTTCACATATCACACGACTGTTCATGTCGTATATTTTTGGTGTTTTTAAATACAGATAAATACAAAAATAACTTTCTACGCTTTCATAATTTGTGCCCTCATGTAGTAAATTTGGCCAAATGGGGTTCATTGGAATTTTACTTTGTGATCACTGAAGCACAAATCAACAGTTCCTTTTGTGAGGCTTTCTTTTGAGCGCACAAATTCCCTGTTTGCATTATTTTATAATAAAGACAAATAATGCCAAGAATGTAGATTGTCTAGCTTAAGCTAGAAGGATTTGGAGTAAATTTTAATGTGGACATGGATGAATTTAACAATGTCCACAGCTCTCAACAGACGTAAACTATGGATTTACCAGGTGTAAATAGTATAACTTGCACAAATAAATCAGAATCATAGACAAAATAAGTTTCAGTTATTTAACGGTTGTGCTACTGTTTATACCTTCCTATAGCTTTGATGCATACGCAAAAGAGGCTGTTTAATCAGTCGACGGTTTGGCCCCGCTGAATTTGAGCTTGATTGAATACTGGAGGAGGGGAAGGAGCATAGCAACATCGTAAATTGCCACCTTTCGAGACGTACACAGTTGGCACACTGGTATCAAACCGGTAATTATAGAGGCTCTCATCATCACACTTAACCCCCTTACAAATAGCTCATTTTGCGGAACGACAGTTATTTTACAAATTCCACCAACCAACTAAGTAACAAAAAAAAATTAATGTTTAGCTGACACCACTATTTGATAAAAGGGCGCTCAGCGGATTACGGCATGAGTCGTGGTACTTTGGGCACTTTGAAAGTTAGTATCCAAGCTGTTGAGTAGCCTGTTACTAAGGTAACCATTAAACAGAGAAGCTAGTCTTAAGCTCGAAGACATTTGACCTTAGTTGGCTTCGGCTGTATGGTAACTGATAAAGTGATGGTTGGGACAGTGCAGAATTGTATAAGCCCATGACGGCCGGTCCAAGCCCCGTTAGAAGAATAGCTGATGGATGCTTAGACTTTGAATACATCATATAATGAATTGGGATTAAACTGAAATAGTACCGCTCAAATTAGTTTACCATAAGAAATTGTTTACCAGAGTCTAGGAATAACTTTTACACTGGTACAGGAAGATCTGTGGCTGGAAAGTGAGTGGTATAAACAGTCACACGCATCGGACTTTGCTGCCTGATTTATCCTTTAACATGTAATGTAGCCGATTCAGGCTTCATAGTGGATAATCAGAACCAGGTTTCCGCGATCTTACATCAGATAATTGCGGTTAAAACTTCAGGAACACATGGAAGTAGATTTGTTCAATATTAGTTTGCTAGCTCCTCATTTCTTTTTTTTGAATATTTCACTTTGACAAATGGCATTATTGTCAACAAGATATAAGGAATTTTCATGCATTAATTAACAAGGGACGCTAAAATTTGTTTGCTCTACTTATACCTCATTCTAATACGCTGTGAGGAAATGTCGCCGATTTTTCGTCGCATATACCCCGCTTCTGTGTAGGCTAGGAGGGCTTTTGTTGACTAATTAGGTGACTCAGCATGACTCTTCTGGTAGCCGAAATTTCCTCATTTTCCACACCGAAGGAAACTTGCATTATTTATGGCCATTACATAATGGCGGACTTCTTGTCCTACATATCAGGTGTACGCAGGCAACAACGTCCTAGCGGTGGCAAGGAGCGCTAAATGCCCAAAGGCTTGATGACTCTATGCATTCTGTTTGTTCGAATTACATTTAACTTTAAATTTTGTTGCAAATAACTTAATCACTGAAATGCAATGGAAATAGACTTTATCATGCCTCAATGATTTTAATTTGGAAAAATTGCATTTTTATTGTGGTAAATAGATTTTGTGGTCTATTTTCGAGCATGATCACGTCGGTGCACAAAGGAAGATCATAAAATGCTCAATTTGGTAGAGGAACAGTAAAGAGAATTACTGGATTTGATGATATTTCGGCTTAAATGAAAGAGACGTCGCTGTTTAAGCCAATGATAAATAGAATACTCGCTTATACTCAATCCTACTTGTTTGGCTTTCAAACAGCTTTCAGAAGAGAGTATTTAAAGATAAAAGACGGTTCTTTCAAAGGACAAGAGTAGCTTAAAGTAAGAAAGAGTTACTCTGGTGGTGAATAAAGTAGAAGTAGATAAAACAAAGCACGCCATTTTTTAATTTGCTTGAATGAAACCCCTCTAAAGGCCACAATAGAGGGAATTGGAGAAATAATTAGAAAATCGGAGGCGGTTAAATGAAAGTACTACCTATTTTGTCCTCGCATTGTGGAATGCTTCTATTGTGAAAAGACTAGTTAGGATAAACGAACAAACGAGTCACTAAGACAGCAAGCGAAGGGGATGACCTAGCAAATCGTAGACTTTTCTGTTGTCTTGGCAAAGTGGCATTAAGAATTCTATTCCCAAATGAAGACTCAAGCACTTTTTCGATTCAAAATGCAAATGTGGAAGTGTCCGCTAAAATAGGCTTGTAATACTTAAGTTGTTTATCTAACTCTCGGATTTGGTAACGGGTGGCTTAGGCCTCTGCCATTGTACCTCCGCCGGGTAACCATACCCATAACCCCAAGCCCTATTGTTAGTCTGCAATAACTAAGGAATGTTAACTCTTCTTATGTCTTCAGAAAAGCCTCAGGGTGCCACAAGGTCTAGTCTTGGCTTCAAAATGGCGTTTTTATTTGAAGACGTGCCCGTAGTTGATTTTGAGTATTTTTCAGCTCTCATCATAATCCATAAGCTTTGAAATAGTTAGCTAAGCTCCCTGAATTATAAGATCCCTTAAGTAAATTAAATTCAAATTCTACCCCTGTGGTTATCAAAGAGCATTTATGTCGTTTCCATCTTTATAGGCCATGTAAAATTTGTGATTTTTTATTCATGAATAAGGCCAGAAACTTACATAATTTCCCACTTAAAAGTAAGCTGCAAACCAGCTGAAGCGATTGACTAAAATACAGCCAAGGAGAGCTATTTTTCTTTATTGGAATATGAAACAATCGTCAAAACCTCCAACTCGAATTTTGCAGTCAAATACTTTAATCAGTGCTGAGCAGATTATGTCTGAGCGAAGGATTTTTCTTTGTCTGCACACAATCTATTTTATTAATGAGTCTTCATGTTCTTGGATAACCAAATAAGAAGGATCCTTGAAGCACATTTGCTGTCATCTTTATTTGCGGTAGTGATGAAGTAAGCTAACCAAAAAATCATGGATTTAAGCAAAGCACAGTATCACAAGAGCGGTGGTGAAATTGGAAGTCGCCTATACACCCCGCCTGTCCAGGGGCTTTTCACCCATGTCAAGCGGTTAATGAAATATACCACCTTCAAGAAACGTGTTATTCTCAAAAGCGTTGTTTTAATCAGAATTTAGGTAAGTATCCGAATGTAGGCATGCCAAAGGGACTAGAGTATACCGGAAGGCAAGGGCCAAATCACCTGCCATCCAACCAGATGACCATTTCGAACAGTACATGTCCAAACCTTAACCCCTATTTAATAAACTAAATTTGATACCGTGTATCTGATATCAAATGAGATGAACTAATTTCCTGCATTGCCAAGCATAATTAGAGTTGCCTTTTTGGAGTTGCAACCAATTGATATCTTCTAGTCAGCCCACTTTGTCGTTTCAATATTTATGAGCTAGCTACTGTAATTCGGATATTTTTAAACTCAAATGAAATCGATAAAATAGTAATGGGTATAGTAATTTTTTAAAATACGACCATAATCAATTAAAAACAGCATGCATTGAAACATCAGGTTGCTTTCATTTGGAGCTGTTGGTCAATATCTATAAATACTGCACTCTATTTGCTGAGCCTTTATTTTGAGAAACCCAAGTGACTTGAAGATGCGGCTTCTGTTTGAAATCATTGCAACTGGTAATTACTTATCCCAGCCAAAGGTGTTCGCAACAAAGGTGACTCACACACACAGAGGGAGTTGGACATGACCTCAAGGATGTCATTCCCCCCCTCTATCGCGGATTTACCTCGAACAAAGGGGTTTACTGCACACCATTGGCGGCTCGCATTTACGAGTCCATGCATAACTTCCGTTCTGTGCGCTTCCTCGTAAACATCACACCACGTTATCCACCTCAAACTACATAAGGCAAGGAACAAGTTGTTGTAACTCCCGGGCCTGTAATCACTCATTCAAGCTTTTAGGATGTGGCAGTCATTTTGCGACAATAAAATTCTACTTAGGGTAACAAAAACTGCAATTTAGATAATATGGGTCCAAGCAGTAGAACTAAATAGGGCTATAGACGCAGTTCGTAACAGTTTACTAATGTTACAGTTTGCTAGGTACTAAGGCGTACGCGTCTTCATTTTTATGCAGCAGTGATGTAAATCCTCGCACCTACACGACTGATTCTGTCCTACCGGTTTGGTGATGAAATCACGTACTATGTAAGTCGAATGCAAGACTGGCACAGCTTCGAAGTCGTTAAAGTTATATGAAGCAGTTGTTTTTTTATTTTATGGAGCTTTGTCGCCTTGATTTCAAGGAGTTGGTACACTTACGATATCTACAAGGACAAAATGTTCATTCGCAAACTCAGTAGTAGCGGGAGTGGTGGTGGCTGGTTACGTCGGCCGGAACGATTAGCTGGTCACGGGTGCTTTTTGGCAAGATGCCTTTTCAGATTTTACGATTATTGCAGTCCCTATTTCAAGTGCTGATGCATCCACGTTAGACATGATACCGTATTCGTTAAAGTAGAACTGGATGTAATAAAAGTGACTATTTTATCAAAATAGGGTTAGTAAAACAAGTGAAGAAATTGGCCTATCATCTGTATCTGGGTATACGCTTTCTTAGCGTGAAGGGTAATGTGAATTAGCATAACTGAGCCAGTAATGAGAGTTAAAAGGCCCCCTCTAAAATAAGATCTACTGCTTTCCACATATCTCAGTCCGGTCGACCTGATTTAATGCACTCTATCACACCAGAGGCAGTAACTGTATCATTAGGGAAAGATGCAAAAAAAATGGGAAAAGAGGGTGATTTAGACATTTTGTGAACCTACTGCGAGACCAATTACTGACGTTCGGGTTCGAAAATCTGCAAATAGTACATGGAGTGTATCCTTCCACATCCGTGACCGATTTAATGCAGCCTGTGGTTATTTTGCATAGGTTTAATCACGTATTTTACGCAAATGAGTTACAGCTGTATTTAATCGTGTAACTTTTACGAAGACTCGCTCTCACATTGACAAAAATGACGCGTTTGTAACACGAATTGGAGCTGAGAATCAACAGCAGAAGCAACGATTGCACTGACAGATAGTTTAGTAAAGCAAAAGTCAATTATTAACGCTTTGGAAATGAATGATTTTAAATGTGAAAGCTTATTCTTACCCCTATTGAGCGCATGCACACTTCTATAGGGAAGGAAATTTGAAATTGCAGCCTTATATCTGTCGAATAGCCTTAACAAGAATTGCCATCAAGTGCTTATTTAATGCCTACCCGATTCCTGTACAGCAGCAACACTAATAGCAGTGGCGGTGGCGGTGGTGGCAGTGGTTGCACTGATAGAATATGAAGCAAAATGAGGAGTAAGAGGAGGAGGAAGTAATGGAGAACCATCTGCTGTCCATTTTCCAGCTGTGCTCACATTTGCGCTCGTCGTCTGAGACACCCTGATGGGCGGCTCCGTGAATACGTGCGTGTGTGCGCTTGCTCGGTGGTGGGTATCTGCAGCACGCGATAACACATAACAGCTGCCAGCTCTCGCCCCCTACTCAACCCCTTCTTCCCTCATCCACAAATGCTACTACTGTTGTTGCTACTGCTCCTGCAATGCCTACTGTGGCGTGGCGTAGGGGGTGGGGGGATGCACAGATGTATGTGTGAGGGGATAATATTTACCCCACAGTAGCAGCGTTGACGCCTGCCTGCCTGCCTGCCCACTAAGCGTACATGTATGCGTGTATGTTCGCGGCAAATCAAAGAAGGCGAAGGAGAGGAAACAGCGGCAGCAAAATGTGCCACACACGAGCATGAAACGGAATACGCGGACATTTATCGTCAACTGAACATGCAGGGTGGGTTGGTGACAAATATCATTCCCTTAAAACAATAAGATTTACACGACAAAATATATAGAGGTATTAATTGTAAAAAGAAATCACTAAAATTCCATCTGGTGGATTCACGAGTTAAACACTAGTGCAAAAATTTACCCAATTGGATTGAAAAACGAAGCAGTGTTGAAGGCAAAAGATATGTCCGCTCAGATTTCCCATCTTATGATACCCGTCAAACAACTCTGAACAGGCGCGGAACCTAGTCGCATGCCTTTCTGAATGCCACTTGCTTTTACTTTACTACTAGTAAAAATTCAGTATGCGAATACCACTTTCAGAAGTCAAAGTTTAGAACACCCCTAGTCTAAATCAGCTAGACCCCCCTATATTTTACAGAAGTGGTGTGGAATTCCGACGGGTAAAATCAAGGTCGAGCAAGCAATGGTGAACGACTAAATAGTCGAGGATGAGCAACCAGCTACGGGCATTAGTACTTTCATTAATAAAAACCTTAATCTACCATTCTTGTTTGCCGATGCCTTGCTTGGAGGCACAATAGTGAAGTCGCAAACAGATCACATGAAGACGGAAAAGTGACACTGCTAAACAATGGTCTGTAATACTTTGGCACTTTGTTTAACACTTTGTTTTGGTTTCGCGAGCGTTTAGGAGCCCACTCTTGTACTTCTACTAGGCGGCACGACCTCCGAGTTCAAGTTAAGTGGTACACTTAACTAGGGGTTACAAACTCCACCTGTGTTAATTTCATTGGAAGTATTGTTTATTGTATAATCGAAGATTCTTTTTAAAACGAACTCTTTCTACCAAAAAATAATATTGCATAAAAATTCAGCAAATGTTCCACCTATCATAAACCACAAAGAAAACGAAGACTCAATGAAAACAAACATGATCTTCAAGCAAAGGTAGGCATACGATAAACAACTTGATATGGAATAATATATGTGGATAGTATATAAAATAGGAGGAAAGCAAGATGGAGACTCGTGAGGTCGGATTGTGTCAAATCAAGTGGATTGCGCTGTACCATCACCGCAGGTCGCGTGGGACGGAGGTAGTGGAACCCACACCACTGACCGCACCAAAACCACCGGAACGAGAGGCAGCCAGTGAGGACTCGAGAAGGGAGAGGCGTTTGCGTAGCAGACCCAGCTCCGTTTCCGCCATGTTAAGGTCGCAGCGAGCTCGCGCCAGCTCGGCGGTTAGGGCGCGAGACTTGGCGCGCTCGCATACCGCCTCGGCACGTGCTACCAATGCTACCGAGCGCCAGTGGCGCAACTGCTCTGCTGCGGTCTCCAATGAGGCCTCAGAGGCAGCTAAAACGCCACTGCCGTCTGCAGGTGAAGAGGAGCCTCTCTTTGCCACCTGTAGGAGAGAAAGGAAACTCTAAGTGACGTCCCAACAATCATATAGAACCTACGTTAATTGAAGGTAATATCCTTGTAATTACATGTAATATTTAATCCTTTGTTTGAAATAACATCTTGAAAAGGAGGAAATGTCGGCATGACTACCTGTAGATTGCCTCCGAGCTCGCCGGAGGAGGAATCGCGATCAGCGGAGGTGGTGCGCCCGTTAAGACGGCGGTTGGGGGAAACATCAGTGGTGGTGGATTGTCGAGAGAGTGTGGTCGCACGACGCCAATCATGGGAGAACCGGATTTGCCCTCGTGACTGTGAGTTTGAGTTGTCCATCAGACTGCCTGGGAGGGACCAACGAAGCGCGTTTGTTTAGAGATGTAAAAAAACTGTACTGGCGTGAAAAAAAAGGATGCACTACCTGTTTCATAACTGGTGGCGAAGAATTAAGCTTCAACACACATTTATTTCCATCTATACATACCAGTAGCTTCTGCATACTATCCCGAAGGATTGAGGCCAGGGTCAATAGACATAAGGCTATTAGAAATGACTGAAGACCGCAATAATTTGAAAAGAAAAATATCTACTCGTCATACTGTAGAGGGATTCAAGGTAGCAGAAAGTGTTCTATTTTAAAGGGTGAATTGAAGTGTTTCAACAAGGAATTTTGACAACCCTGAAGGAAAAGTTCGTTATCTTCTCGAGTTGAAAAAAAAAACGGCATTTTCACACTTGAGGAAAACGAACTCAATTAGAGAGAAAAGTATTTTCTCACCAGTTGTTTGTTACGAGAATGCTAAAAGTGCATTCTCGTATCTGTTCAAAAAAATGAGTCAGTAAAATGTATTGTGCTCATACTCAAATATTTTCACCATCTACATACGACATCACGTAGAAAATTTAGTTTAATGTATCACCTTTGCCGTGGTAAATATATGACACCGGTTACGTCTTTCATAAAAAACAAAACAAAATTCCACAGGAAATCAGGACGGAGTCTTGTACTTGGAAAGACTTTAGTTCTCAAATCCTGATAAAGGATCGCCCTAAAACGAAAACACTCACTGAAGAATAGATCATAAGACACTCCTAACTTTACACGCCCTAGCGAAACTTCAACGTATGTCCTAAGTAACTCGCTCCAGCTAAGAGATCATTCACCACTCGTAAAGATTACAAATGAAAATACATAGTAAAGATATGCAGTTTGCTGTCTTATAGTAGAATTCTGCCTGCCCCAAAAGGTTGGTCCACCATTCAGCAAACGGTATAAATCACAAATCGGCAGTTGGAATACAACGAATAGCAGGCCTTAAGCAAGGAAAATAATACTGACCCTTCGAATTAAGAATTGAAACTACTTTCAGATCGAATTAAGTGCTAAATGTATTTCCTGATTCTTAACCGATTTGGAAAGTCCAAAGCTAAAAACGAGTGCCACAGGCCTACTTATTTCTATTTCGGTAGTAAATTAGGCGACAACGCTAACACCGGCTAATTTTGGTGGAGAGAGGATTAGAATGAAGGACCACGTATCCCTTTTTGTAAAGTAAGTGTTAAAAAATATTAGCGCACAAACGTAAAATCAGTTGGTCCGACGGCAAAGGCTCTATGAAACTACCAATATTGACGCAATGGGGAAGCTTTTGCAGATAAAACAGATCTCCTTTGATGACATGACAACATTGCAAAAATGACCTGGTTAACTCGCTTTACAATCTGACCATATTTTAATTGATATATACATCAGTTCACAAAAATAATGCTATTAGGTCCAAAGATATGCACCCGGAAATGTCATTTTACCAGCTATTAGACAACCAAACTCATCCCCTTCAACACTGATTAACTGATGCCAGACGTTAAACGAGTTTAAAAGCAAGTCAACCTAGCAAAAAAGGCGCCAAAAAGCGATAGAAATTGAGCTTGAGAGTGAAGGACAAATTTAAATGACCTTGTACAACTGCAAACGCACACACACGGAGAAAACGCAACCCACACATATCCTCGAAAATTCACACTAATCTCAAAACAAGCAAAAATCACATGCTCGTGCATTGCAGAGGCAGTGATGGAGATGTCAAACCTTGCCTTCACTCACCCCATCTTGGCGCCAACAGTGCACACATTCACTCTTTCCAATCAACTCACCTTCCACTTACTCACGACTGTGTTAATCACACATCTCCCCATGCACCTTTGCAATTACAACCTCGCCTAGGTCCAAGTGCCTAACCAAACCAAACCAACACAGCACAGCACACCACAACCCAACCCACCCGATTTGTGATG